AGGTTAGACTAACCTGCAAAGATTTAATCAATTCAGGTTCTGGCTTTTTGATTGTCTGTACCTAGCCCTGGTGTCACAAAATATGTGGTTTGCAGCTGTTTTGAGTCAGATTTGACCTATTCCACTTCTAGGGAAAAGTAAGTCTTCCCAGTGCTATCCTTCCCTCAGTTTTCATAGGTAAGTAGCATTACTTACATTTTCTGAATCATGATGTTGGTGCTACCCTAACTTGTTTTGGGGTCCTAGAATAAAATGTTCTTTGTTTGAAGAGTAATAGATGATAAGCATGTTCACAGTGAGGGAAAATCCTCAAGGCCTTCCAGGTTTTATTTTTGCAAGGCCCGGAGGAAGAGATTCATATCAATGATGGCCTCCAATCAGAACTGTGAAAATGGGAAAGGCTACTGAGATGAATGTAAAGAAACCTGTTTTTTAAAAGGGTGTTTTAAGCCTGAATCATAGTGTAAATGAACTGTTGGTAAATCCCACAAAGCTATTCTACCAATATAAAAGCCATTTGGTTTTATTGGGATGCTATTCAGTGAAGGCAATTGGATTAAAGTGGGATCTATATATTGCTTTAGCTGTTGTTTATTTAAGTGTTGCTCATGCTGTTCTTCACAGAAAGAATACAAGAAAGATCTAGAGACAGAAATTAAAGGGAAGGGAATGCAAGTGGGCATGGATACCCCTGAAATACAGCGAGCTAAAAACGCTTCTGAAATTGCAAGCCAGGTATGTACAGAATAATGTCTACAGACTACATTTCAGGAAAAAACACAATGATCCTTTTAAAAATATATGGAAATATTCTTCTAGAAGGTTGATGGTAATAAGAACAAGTTGTGATAAAGGCAGATCTCAGTTGCTGTTTCAGTTGCTGTTGGAGTCCAGTCTTACAAGGGTGGCTTTGAAGATGGCACACACCAATTACCACAGGCTTAAGTGTACAATACATCTGCAGATTATAACATCTTATTTTGCAGAAAGAATACAAGAAAGACTTGGAGACTGAAATTAAAGGGAAGGGGATACAAGTTGGCACAGATACCCCTGAGATACAGAGGGTCAAAAGAGCTTCTGAAATAATAAGCCAGGTGGGCACAGAATGAAGGTTAAGTGTTTTAATATTTCCTAATGATGTGTTCTGGGAACATGTTATTCATAATGCATTGCTTTGCCTTTTGTTAATTAGAGATCTGTATACTAATAGTAAATAAATTAACATATGGAAGCTACTTGTGGAACTAATGTTTTAAACATTTGATTCTCATTTAAATTAAGGACTCTTTTTACCACTGTGTCAGTGGAAAATGGCCTTTAATTGGGTGTAAATTTTGTTTACGTCCATTTAGCACCTTTTTACATGTCCAGAGTGGACATATTTTAAACAATATCAGCCAAGAGAAAACATGGGATGCACATTTTTAAAATTATGTGTTTCAGAAAATGTACAAAGATGAAGCAGGGAAGATGCTCTGTAATTACTCTGCTGTACCAGATACTCCAGAAATTGAGAGGATTAAGAGTACTCAGAAAAACATTAGTTCGGTGAGTAGCAGCAGTTCTGCTTTTAGATGTGACTTTTCAGACATTTCCAAGTATGAAATGGTTTCTCTGGTGTCCTGGCATGGAGTGTGGATATTTGAGTAATTGTCAATTAGCCATTTGCATAATTTTGTTGGAAAAAAACTGTACAATAGCACTGATTTTTTCAGAAAAGAAGCCCATCTTTGCTAGGCTTGATACTGCTGGTTTAAATTGTTAAGCCACTTAGTCTAGCCTTACCAAGCCCCAGTCATTTTTAACTGAATTTTTTTTTTAAATCTGTCTCCCCAGAGCACTTCATTATATGCTGGGTACATGTACACGTGCTTTACTGTGGAGTTCGACTAATTAGCTCTGCAGTGGTGGTGTTTGTCCTTCAAATTCAAAGATGACTGTGACATCACTGGTTGGTTTGGTCTCTGTGAACACATGAGTGGCTGATCAGGCCAATTTGTGTTTTGAACTGTCTGTGGCACACTGAGCAAGAGATGCCACTTTGGGTTGCTTGAATAACAGTGGACATACTGCTGTTGCAAGTTTTATTGTGTTTGCACTTCTGCTCCTCTTCAGCAGTTCTTCTCCACTCATAGACAGTTGCTCTAGTATGGATGAGGCTTCACCAGGTGGAACAATCATGAGTGAGATCTTCCTAAGGCTTTGGGTAAATGTTGAAACATTTCAAGGATGACTTGAGGGAGTCCTTGAAACATTGCTTCTGGCCTTCCTGAGAACACTTTCCCTCCTTTAGCTCATCGTAGATCTTCTTTGCCAGTCACTCATCTGACATCTGGGTGACCATCTCACCTGTGATTTCATCAACAGAGTGTGGATGCTTGGAATGGCTGCCTTTGTGAGAACCTCAGTGTCTGGAACTTTGTCTTGCCATCTTATCCTCATAGTTTCCTCATGTGAAAGTGGTTCAGTTTCATAGCATGGTGTCTGTATACCATCCAGGTTTTGCATGCGTACATCAGGATTGGCAACACAGTGGCTTTGTTGACCTTCAGTTTTGTTTGACTGATGCCTCTGCACTCCCACACATTTGCACATAATTTGTCAAAGGCTATGCTTGCTTTAGACCATTCTGGCATTGGTTCCACCATCAATGTGAACTGCACATGACAGTGTACTGTTGACATAGGTGAACATGTCCACTACCTGGAGTGCTTGGCCATTCTTTGTGGTTGTAGGCTCTACGTAAGGCTTTCCTGGTGCAGGTTGGTGCATTCCTTCTGTTGTCTTAGTGTTGTTTGTGAGACTAAAGTTCACACAAGCTCTAGAGAAATGGTCCGTACTCCACTGCATGTCAGACTGAGATGGCATTCAGGCAACAGTCATCAGCAAATGGAAGATCATGAAAAACATCAGCAAACAGAAGATCACAAACTGTTCATGATCTTCTGAGCTCTGCAGTAAAGTGTCACTGTCTACACATTCACTGGTATTAGGGCATAATAAACCAATTAACTCCACTGTAGGATAGTACTATCAGGGAAAGTGCTATCTTACGATGGAGTAAGTAACTGTGCTGAAATGTATGTGTAGATGGTGACAAGGCCTGGCTGGCTGCACAAGGGTGTTAAAGTGTGGGGGC